ATGTTCTCCGGGGCCAGGTCCGTCCGGCGACATGGGTGCGCGGGCACGGGGGTAAGGTGGGGTGAGCAGTGAGCAGTCCGTTTGAACAGCCCGCGCCTCCTGGCACGGCGGCTCGTTTCCGTGATATAAGGTGGATGCATGCGACGTGACAGGGGCGTAGAGGGAGACAGTTGAGGAAGGCGGTGAGAGAGGGAGAGAGAGAGGGTAAGTGAAAGATTGCCGCCTGACCTTGTCTACCATATCCGACCTGCAGCGGAACATCCGAGGACCCCACCGTAACCGTCTCCTCCCGAGGACTATTCCCGACTTCAATTCAAACGTGTCTCGCCACACGACATAATTGAGCGGTTTGCCATAAACTGCAAAATGCCTCCTCATTTGCCGCCGCCGCCCCGCCATCGCTCCGCAGTCCGCTCCGCAGTCCGCTCCGCAGTCCGCTTCGCAGTCCGCTTCGCAGTCCGCTTCGCAGTCCGCTTCGCATTTCGCTCCGCAGTCCGCTCCACAAGTCCGCTCCGCTGCGCGCCTCTCGGCTCGTGGAGATGCCGCTGACCCGGCCTAGTATTGACACACTTACGGCGCCTTATAAATCAGGCGCCCCGAGTGACGTCAGGGATTCGATATCTCGAAGAGGAGAGCGGCAGCGCTGCATGGTGATGCACCCCACAGACGCCGCTCCGGAGGGGTAGGCAACCGAGTTTGAGCAGGGCTGCGATCGCTATGCACAATAAGGAGGCGACGCACTGCGGGCGTGCCAGGCGTGCATGCGTGCAGGCGTGCCAGGCGTGCGTGCGTGCGTGCGTGCGGGCCGATGGTCCTGTCGTCGAGGCCTCCCGTCAGTGCAGGACTGGTGACGGGCTCCGAGCAGCAAGTAGGCAACTCGATCGCACGCCTGCATGCGTAACTGCAGAGCTGGAAACGCCCTGAAAAAACACAGCACATCTCCGACCATCTCTGTAAAATGGAGTTTTCCAAACACGGTACAGTGATGAGCATGCGCAGGGGTTATTGCTGAAACGCGGATAGGGTAACAGCGCTGCGATTTGTTTGTTCAAGGCAGGTCAATCCCCGTGGAGTAAATTTACGATCCACCCCAGCGACGCAACGTCATCCTTCTTATATCACCCCAGCACGCCGGTCCGCGGCTTCCTCGACAGTGTACTGATGCCACACAACGATGCGCTCGGGAGAATCAGTGCGCCTGGCCGTGCCTTGCGTTACTGCAGTGGACATTACTACGGTTGGACTGGACGTCCCGTGGGAGCCGAGCCGAGCCGAGCCGAGCCGAGCCGAGCCGAGCCGAGCCGAGCCGAGCCGAGCCGAGCCGAGCCGAGCCGAAGCCGAGACGAGCCGAGTCGAGACGAGCCGAGCCAAGTATTGCACTGCTCCTGATACGTAGGCAATTACCATCGTTATCAGTCAGCAAGAGACCAAGCGGCCTTACGGTCGGAATCACCGCGGACTGCAGGCAGGCAGGAGGACCCCGTCCCCATCTTACGGCGTCCTCTTGCCCTCCTCCTCCGGGTCTCCCCCAGCGTTACGTCTGAACCGACATCAACATGGTCGGATTGCCATCGACACCGAGAAATTGCTTGTCTCTGAGTCTAAATCTCCACGCGCTGAGGACGAGGCGCCGCGAGTCTCTGTCCCCCCTTCTCTACCCTCTCATCTCTCTCACTTACACACATACACTCGCGCGCGCGCGTATTTCCTCTACGACCGCAGCTCGTTCCCCCCGCTGCGCGGCACGAGGGGTCTGTCCTGGCT